TAAACGTATGTAGTCGATGCGCTGCTGTAGATTCTGTCCCGCGTATGTGTGACTGGGTCCATGTGTTTCAATAGTAATGTTGGCGGCGAAGAGGTTGTGGCTCAGGCAAATAGGCATGGAAGTATTTCCCTCCTCTGTTCTCTTCTTCTGGTTGTCCTTCATCGCCAATGTGAGGAGAGGTAATGCTACCCGTGGTGCCGTTGGCGTCTACGAGGATGCTGTCGCCGTTGTGCTTCTCAGTCTCGGCGCTGATGTTGTCAAAGTACATGTTGCACTTAAGTTCGTCAGCATGTGTGTGGTGCGTGAGCGACCACAACGGTTCTCTTGAGCCCAAGTGCTGCGAAGTTGACAATGAGTAGTCTGGGGTTCCGGGTCATTATTCTCCATTGATTTGGCTTGAAGTGCAGTTGTCGTCCCTTGTCGTCATGGTAAGAAAGGTGTGTGTTGATCAGTAGCGAGCAGCCCAAATTGTGTCTGTCGTGTCCGCTCGAGATGATGGTGTATTGGTCGGCGCTGCGTGTCCCGCGTGGTAGTCGCGACTCCTGCGCCCCAATGACGTGCACTTTGATGTCGGAGAGCTGCTGTCGGATGACTGTGAGTCTTGCGATTTTTCTCTTCTTGTCGCGTCCCTGCTTGCTGGGTATCTTGACAGGGCGTGCGTTGACGGTGCATATGCGGATGTCGATCTGCTTATCGTTGGAGGTCTCGCTGAAGTATGAAGTGTGCTGGTCGAGCGTTTATCTTAGCAGGAAGTGCCTCCAATCCTTGCCGGTTGGTCCTCAGGTAGGCGTCCTTGGCGTCGTTGTCCGCCTCTTGCAACTATTCCAATTGTCGCTCTCAGTCGGCGTGAAAGGCTCTTGCCCGTTCTTCTTGTGGGCGCTCTAGAAGGTCGCCGGGGGTGGTTGCGTGCGTCTTGGCTAAGCTGCCGGCGAGCTCATTCCAAGGATGTCCCGTGTGTGCTCGTACGTGGTCAGTGTTCAGGTTGGCGGTCTCAGGTGCATGGTCGCGTAGTACTCGTGCAAAGTCAGTCAGTGGGTTTCTTGGGTTGGACATTGCCCTTCGCGAATCCACTGGTAACAATGGAGTCGGTATGTATAGTGACGTCGGGTTTGCTGGTGGCGCCGTGGAAGCGTGCGTATATCCACAGCGTCAGAGCAGCTAGCTCTGACGTCGTAGAGTTACACGGAAAACGGTCGCCCCTACATGATATGTTGTTGCGTGCTCCAATGCTTCTCTGGTGTGTGAAGCCTTGATCGTCATCCGCGGTGATAACCAGGGCCCATGGGTCATGGGTAGAGTCGTGATGATGTGTGCCGTCTGTGTATAGGTGCCATCTTTTGGCCGATTGATCGGGTCGTGGCGGGCGCGGGTCGAGCGCCATTGAAGCTGCTGGGTGTAGGTCGGGCACATAGGTGAGGTCATGCTGGTGCTGGAGAGTGGGCGGGGGGCGTTCGCCTCAGGGCGGCCGCTATCGGCTCCGTTGGGGGGGCAGGGACCGCAGCTGTAAAATTCCTCTGCTGTGTGCCCTGGGGGGGCGGGCTCCCCGTGGGCGCGTTGGTCCGCAGATGTCGTCTCCTCCGCGTAATTGTCCAGGTCACCTCGCACGGGGCCCGATCTGTCGTTGCGCGGCGGGTCGTATCTGGTTGAAACATGTGTTGTGGAGACTATGGCTGCCCCGCCGTCCTTCTCAACCGCGGGGCTTGCCGTGCTCTCTCCATCCCCCTGGAGATTAGCTGCTGCTGGCGTTGTCTCGGCTTCCCTGCTGGCGCGTGTATTCGCTGCGCTGCTGCAGGGGTTGACCGAGTCAGTGCGTCGTCTTCTGGCTGTGCGGCGCTGGTAAAAAGGGAGCACTTCCGCTCGTTGAACTCCAGTTCGGCGTTGGAAGCGGGATCGTGCATAGGGTCGCGCGCGTTTCGTTCTGGGGCGTTCGGCCGTGGTCGAGCTGTGCGTTCCATGCGCGACGTGCCGCGGCGTTGGCGCCCCTTGTGGTATGTCGCTTGGTCTGTTGGCTGTCGCTGTGTCGGCCCTGCTGGCCTCTTGGGCGGTGGCGCCCCTAATGCCGCCGTCCGTTGTCTGTTTTTTGGGCGTCGGTCGCTGGCGTCTCCCTCGATGCCGCTGCTGTCGCTGTCGTCGTGCCGGCTCACGGGGGTGGTGTTCCTCTCGTCTGCTGGGCCCGCTGCGCCCTGGCCGTTGTCCGCGGCGAAGCGTGCTGAGCGTCGTGGTGCTGATTGAGGTCGGCTTAATTCCGCACGTTTGCGGTGAATGCGGACTTCTTCTGATGGGTGGTCAGGTTATCTCGGGGGCAGTGAGGTTGCTCTGTTCGGTGATGTGCCTATGTGGAATGTGGGCGCTGGCCGGAAGCCGATGGGTGTTATGTAAACCGTTGGTGATATGATTGCTCCTCCTGGCGATGTACATGGAGTCGTACCAGCTCTTCCCTCAGGTTGATCCTGCGATTCATGTTCGTCTGCAATCGGCGTCGGGGTGTCGTTTCCTTCGAAGTCGGTGCGCTGGGCGTGAAACTTCCCCGTCGGGCTGATGTAGTAGTCGTTGTGCCTTCGCTGGGTTGAAGCTGGTTCCCGCGGTTGAGCCTGACGTAGTATCTGTTCTTCCTCCTGCTCCTTTCGCGGCGTTGAAGTCCCTTCATCCTCCAGTATATTGTCTGGGGGGTTATCTACAGATGTCGTCATCGTGATGTGGAGGATGTCCTTCCCCCGTTGATAGTCGCCCCGTTGGGCATGGGTGCCGTGGTCTTCGACGTCGGAGATCTCGGAATCATGGATGACTATGATTTCAGCTTCTTGGTCAAAGTGTTGTGGCCCTGTTCCTGGTGACGCCTGACGGAATCTGTCGATGGGCTGCGAATCGTGATTCCTGTGTTGGTTGGCGAGGTCATTGACGAAGTCTGCTTCCCGCTCCTTCATCATGGCATGATCTCGGGATGGGCGTCCTCAAGCTGTCTTGCTCGTTGCTGCATTTGTGTTTCGGCGACCTGTGGATTGTCGTGTAGCTGTTGGAGAAGCTGCTCTTGCGTCTCTATGGAGGTCTTCGCTGCGACTAACTGGTGTTGGTCTTGTTGTATGCACTCCGCTTGTCGCTCCGCTTTTAGCTCCGCTGTCACCGCGTAGACATCTTTGTGCTGGTGGAGCTGAGTGGTGTAATTCTGCATGTCCTCCGTTCGCCCCCCCAAAGTGTGGGTGGTCTCGGTCTTATTTCGGTATTGCTTCTCTTCGATGTGCATGGTTTTCTTTTATCCGTAGATCTCGTTCTCGAGGCGTTTGGTCCTTTGCTCCGATAGGTTGCAATTGTGCTCAATGTGCCCGCGCGCCTTGTTCTCGATGTTGACGTTCTTGGTTCCCGCTGCTGCGAATTCTTATCGAAGTTGCTGTTGTGGGTGCTGCTGGTCGTGATATTGATGGGCTGCGCTTCTGTTCTGCTGGGGGCCGTTGATATTAATCTGTTGTTGGTGCTCCCGGTGCTGTATGGTTTCGTCCTTATCCGTTAAGCTCTGCTCGGGTTTGTTGTACTTGATGAGCGTATCTGCAACTCGTGGCTGCCGGGGCTGGTGTTTTTGTTGTCGTGCTTCTTCGGCGGCTCCTTGCATGTGCTCGATGGTGGTGGCTAGCTCCCCGTACTTCTCGTGGTGCTGCTTCGACTCCTG